AATCCATGACTTCCAATGGGGGATCCATGGCTCCCAATAGGAGATCCGTGACCCCCAATGGGGAATCCATGACTCCCAGTGGGGAAACTGAGGCACAGGGCTGTCCAAATGGGGAATCCATGACTTCCAATGGGGGATCCATGGCTCCCAATAGGAGATCCATGACTCCCAATGGGGATCCGTGACTCCCAATGGGGAACCTGAGGCACAGAGCCGTACCGCAGCGATCCGTCACCCCAACCCGAGGCACGAGCCCCACATCTCCCCATGGGGTCCCCATGGCCCGGCCCTACCCCGCGGTCCCATTGCCCCCAAACTGCTTCCTCTCCAGCCGGTCCTTGTACTGCAGCTCGGGGGTCGCCATCCTCTCGCACCTCTCCCTCTCCCCCGGCCCCAAATCCGCTCTGAGAGCGTAACCGACGACGGCGGCCGCCCCACGACCGGGTTGGAAAGGTTTCAGCTTCCCATCGGTGATGGAGGGTCCCGGTAGGGGTCCCCCCCCCCCTCAAACAACGCCTCGCCAACGCGTCGCGTCGCTTGCGGAGCCGCTCCACTTCCTCCCTCATCCTCTGCGGGCCGAACTCCGCCACCTTCCTCCAAAAGGAACGGTTGAAATGGACGTAAAGGGCCCAATCCAAGGCGTTCCATTCCCGCAGCCTCTCCGTTTCCTGGGCGGATAAAGGGCGGACGGCGTTTTTGGCTCGGCCGTTTTGGGGAAAGGCCACGACGGCATCGCGGGGCCAACAGAGAGCGTGGCGGAGCAGCACCAGCGACTCGTCAAAGTATTCGGCCAACAGGACCAAAGCGAAAACGTCGTCCAGGGCCTCGATGGCCGCCGTCACCGCCGTGCCGTTGGACGGGGAGACGGCGGGGAGGCCGAAGTCGAACCAAAGGAGGTTGCGGGCGTAGTGGTTGCCTTTGAGGCCGGGTCGGTAGTAGAGGGATGGGGAGAGGAGGAAGGCGGAGCGCGACGGAGCGCGGCGGAAGGCCGGGACGGCGGCGCGGTAGTAGGAAAAGGCCGACTCGGCCGCCGTGGCCGGATCGCGGGCGATGGAGAAGTAGAAGCTGTCGGGGGGCATCACGCGGCGGACCTGGGGGGCGGGGGGGGGGG